TCACTCTTCTGAACTCCAACAAATACAGGCCCAACGTTTCACCATAAGACAACTCCTTCATGCCTGAAGTCAATTAAGTAAATCTCTTTATTGACAATCCCCATTAGTGACTACTTTGGCACTTTTGTACAAAGTTCCAGAAAGAAAATGAAACTCTTGCAGACAGAGGTAGAGATAATACCATTGCTCAAGACCCAACACCCAGTACAATAAAAAGGACAAGTAAACCCGGCCATTTAACATGCAGCAAATCTTTCAACCACTTCAAAAAGAGCCATCAGCTTTATCAATTGGCAATTGCTCACCAATAACACATTCACTCAGGCTCAATTTAGGGTTCACTAGGCATGTTCAGCTCCAGACCTCATTGCCATGATGTGGAGGTACCGGTACTGGGCTGGGGTTGACAAAGTCAGAAATCACAAGCTTTCATAGTGCTGCTCCTTCATGTGTCAGGAACAAAAACGTCCTGACGAAGGAGCAGCATTCTGGAAGCTTGTGATTTCAAGTAAATCTGTTGGACTATAACCTGGTGTAATGTGACTTCTGACTTAGACATCATTGCAGCCTTGGTCCAAAGTGGACATGAGCTGAAGTTTAACATTGCATCTAAGCATCAAACAAGCATGGAACCAAGCTGCCCTAGTAAAATTGAAGTTAATGGATTCAGGAAAATTCTTCAAAGGCTAATGTTATATCTACCATGAAAGAAAGTAATTGCAGTTGTTTTGAAGTCAATCATTGCAGCTTCAGATAATTATCACAAGTGTTCCTTAGGGTTGTGTATTAGATGTACCCATATTGAGCTGTTACATAAAATGTAACCGTTTTTAAAAGAAATTCAGAAAATAAGCCTCACCATTGCAATGTTCATCTCCAAATTTAATTCCTTAGATAGTAAAGCTGTAAAGGTCTGAATGCTGCTGAATTATCAGTTAGGAATCAACATGCTCAGGCAAACCATACGAGTAAATCAAAGGGTGATCTGTCAGAGAAGTGTTGTGATTGCTACAGGTCTGATGCTAGGGATTATAGCAAGTATCATCGCCACAAGGTAGGAGTCAACATGATGGAATGCTCCCACTAGCCTAGAAAGGGTTAAACTGCAACAGCCAAGAAGCTTGGCAACTTCCAGTTTAACTGGCACTTAATTGATTAGCCTGAACATTCACTGTTTGCACTATTGGCTGCAGTGTGTACTATCTACACAATGTGCTGTAGAAACTCTCCATGGACTAATGCCAACATCTTCCCTGATCTACAATCTCTGCAACTCAGGGCAACAACAACAGGTACATGGGAATATTGCTGCCAAGTTGCACACCACAGTGACTAGACAATTACTGCTGGCAAATCTGGGTTCTAACTGTTCAGACATTCCCATTAAACCCCCATTTAAAATATTCAGAGTTTCTGCTCATTCTAAATTTAAAATGTTTATATCTTAGTAAAATACTATAAGCAAATTATTAGCTAAGCAGTACTAAACAAAGTCAGATGAACTTTCCATAGTACCTTTTATTAAAGCCAGCTCAGTTTAGGTCACTGATGGTGAAAATCTGCTGTTTGACTGGACATATTAATGTCCAATCAATGGAAGGTGCAATATTGCCAACCTTGATACAGCTTCTGTAATTGATGTGCAATATTCCCTCAGGAAATCTGTTTCCAGTATGTATTCATGCTGGCTGTTACAGAATACTAGATCTAACTCTACTAATCAATTTTGTGATACAACATTCAGCAAGCAATGCCACTTTCAGGATTAATGCTGTTCAAGCAAAGATCACAGCATTTTTTAATCTTTTAGAAAGTATACAGCCCATCAATGAAATCTAGCTTTCTCATACTGCCAGAAAAGTAAAGCTATTTTAATTCAGAAATCAGAGTCACATGTCTGATATTTATGCTGCAGAATCCAGCTTTCTTCACTTGACAACTGATAAATCCATAAAAGCTTGCCTTTGCAATAGTGAATTTGTAAATGTTTTTAACTGCAAGAATCTGGGGATATTAGCATAGTGTTAAAATTACTCAACATACATCCAGAGGCCAGGATTAATGCTCCAGAAGCTGAAGTTCAAATCGCAATAAATCAGGTAGAGAAATTTAAAATCAATCAGGGGTCATGAAACCAGATTATCATTAAAAATCTGCTTGGCCTTAATGTCCTTCAGGGGAGCAAATCTACTATCCTTACCCTGTCTGGCCTAGTTATGATGGCCAGGCCCAAGCAATGTGGTTGACTTTCACTTTTTTCCCCACTTAAACCTTTAACCATCATCTTACTCAATGGTAATTGAGGATGGACAATAAATGTTGGCCTTGTCAGCTGTATGCATCAAGGACTTAGAGATCTATACCAAACAGAACGGTGGTTGCTGGAATTCTGAAACAAAATCAGATATTGCTGGAGAACTCAGTAGGTCACGCAGCATCATGTGGACAGAAAGCACAGTTAGTGTTTCAAGCCTAGGTGACCCTGAAGATCTGAGTTTCTCCAGTAATTTCTGCGTCGAGGGATATTTACATTGGTACTCAGTGCAAGATGCATCAGGTCCATACATTTGGACCCATACTCTCAACACTTTTAGAAAGTGAGGAAGCCCAAACAACCTTTCTCTATAGTTCAGTCTGTAGCACTCACAGTCAGATGATTGTGGATCACTGTCTATCCCAGGAAATGAGCACAACAATCTAAAATGTTACAGTGCAGCACTCTATGTATCACACAGTCAGAGGTGCTATATCACAGACGAGACATTAAATCAAGACTCTACCTGCCCCTTAGGCTGACATAAAACATCCCACGGCACTATTTGAAGATGATCAGGGAGATATCCCTGGTATTGTGGCCCATTATATCCTTCAAAATAACAAAAAAAAAAACTTGGTCTAGTCATCATGGTGTTGTTTGCAAATTGACTGTTTCCTACAATCATTCTGATTATATTAGAATTCTACAAAGTATCTTTCATTTAAATTCCAGACATTTCAGGGTGCTTAAGTGGCAAGATGAAATGTAACAGGCCATATTTAATGCAGGATATTTTGAACATTAGGAACAAACAATACCATGAATTTCACATGACCAAATAACATTTAATGCTAAAATTCAGATCGTTAATCTGACATATCAGGGCACAAAATCAATTCACTTTTCAGAATTTAACCAAGTAGCCAAAAAACAAACTTACATGGATACCACTTAATAGATGGCATTTGTTTTTCCCATAAAGCACTTTTTAAAACTAGGTCAAAGTGGTGATACAAGCTAAGGAGGATGCTTTACTCTTCTTTAAAAATGTCTACTTTAAAAGTTACTAGTTTAGATGTTGTTACATACGCACGTGCAACAAACATTATCAAATTTGATATGGTCGTGCAAAGATACAAAAGGGATCAGAATGGTTGGTTATGTTGTGAGAAGGGCTGTAATATGTACTCTAATGAATAGTTTCCTTCTATGTTATAAATGAGTGCGATTACAATGGAACATCAAACATTTAAGTAAATTACTTTATTTGCAATTAAGCTTTGGGTATTCACTCCTGGTAAATTGGGACACGAAAAAGAATAGACTCCGTCACTGTGGTACAACATCTAAGCTTCCAAATTCTAAGCAGCCATATCGCATTACATTGCTACAAATTTGTGATAATTTTTTTTGCTGGTATTCACATGCTAACAGTCATGTATTTTAGCCCTAATAGTGCTTCATTTGGCTCTATTTCAAACTGAAATTACTTCACATTTTAGCATGATCTATAATCTAGCCATTCTCAAAAAGCTTTCAGATTTCCCACAAATGTGATTGTTGTTTGGTAGCACAGACTTTGAATATTGCTGAAGAGACACACTAACAATGAAGTTAATATAACCAGTTGAGCCTGTGGCATAGCCTTTTTTTGCATTTCCAAAGTGTTTGGGAGGGCTATAGTTTCCCATTGCTTTCTCCACAGCAATGACTCAGCCAATCAGCAATCTTTTCTCCTGTAGTATAAATAGCGGTTGTTTTAAATTTGCCAATCTTGCATTTGTCCTGATCAAACTGGGTACAAATTGAAAAGCTTTGATTATACACATCTTTTCAGTAATATTCAACAAACTGTCATCTTAGCCAGCAAGATTGTAGCTTGTAATTCAAATACAATTTTCACATGCAAGTCCCCAGTACAGTCCCCACCGCTTAAAACATTCACATTTCAAACAGGTAGCAACATAAACTATCCGAGAAATGAAAATTTAGTTGCACCAATGTCAATTTTAAAGTTGTCAGTCACAGCATGAAGTGCTCCATTTATTTTATGCAGAAACACTGTAAAGGGTATTGATTTTTTTTGGGACAGTGACACTGTGGAACTTTATTTCAATAAAACGTAGATTACATCAATTTAACTTAAGCAGATTCCATGACTAACAGGATTGATTAATTTCCACAATAGTCTCGAATCAGTTTCTCTACAGAGAGATTTAGGTTTAGGACAACTTTGGCTATTTGAACTGTGAAGTTATTAGTCATGGAACTTAGGTGAGGAGGGTGGAGAGGCTTATTGGTCTGGGAGTAATCATGATCTAAACCATTCAACTGTTAATACATAAGCCAGATAATGGATTAAAGTGGATAGGTGCTCCTGTGTTACAATATTAATACTTTAATGAAACTGATAGACCAGATTAAAATCAAAAAATTCAACACTTTTTCCTTATTAATTCTATAATGAGAGTTCAGTTAAAATGGTCACCAAGCAAATGAAAAAGGACCTTTATAACCATAAGACATCATTATCTGTTATCCTCAGTGGCTATAACAGGTAAATTATGTGCAAATGTGTGACCACTGTAAGAAGTGGGGACTGTATTTAGCAACAAACACACTTGGAGTTATATCTTAAATACCATCACTGGCCCCAAGCAGCAATTTCTATAAGTATAGAGCCACAATGAACCAGATTGAACTTGACATTCAAATGCATCATATGATGAAAAGACCTTGGTTATGTCTGCTTCACTTGCTTAGGAGAACTGCTGAAGAAAGGATATTGTATATATGCAAATCCTCTTGGACGTCGAGTGTAGAAGTCAAGGGGAACGTAAACATCTACTATTGGGCCATAGCGACCAAACTCACGACGTAAATCCTCAGGCCTAAAGTACCATAAAAACGATACAGGTGATTTGAAACACAAATTTCCCACTGTGCATGTGAAGAGTCCAAAAACTCTACCGACATTAAACCATCTGAAAAGGAGATTCTATAACCAAGAAGGTTTTGCACTCGAACATCAAATCAACTCGTAAACTGTCTACAGGATGTCAGGAATAGGATCAGTCAAGTTGGTGGTACTCAGGTGGGCGAAATGGCTAGACACATCCCATTTTAAGAAATGGGAAACTTAGTTATGCCTCAATTTTAGCAAAGATTTACAGTTCTTCAACGCTCTCCAATCATTTAAAAATGTTATCCAAAATAAATATTCTGGTGAAAATGAGTTTATAAACCAAAACATATGGCTTCATATGCCTCTGAACTAAATATGAAGATGCATCCAATATAAACTACACAAGTTTCTCACATTGCCTCTTCAGTGTTTTGTTGAGATCATACAGTTGACTCTTTCTAGCCACTCGGTTCCTGCTGCCTCTCCTGGTATTTCCAGCCTGTCCACAGTTTAGCATCTTGTATCATTGATGTGTACTTTAAAAGTATCGAACTGAATTAGATTAGTCGCTATAAAACTAATTAATTTTAAGTCTATATATCATTTCTTGGCCTCTTCGACCTGTATCCATTTTTATCCTGATCAATTTTCCATTCCTGATTTAAGGAGCATTTAGCACCATCTCCATCTAATTCAAAGTGAATGCCCCCAAATTTGAATATCTCCAAATCATTCATTACTGTAAATTTTTAAAAAATAGTTTCACAATTAATTAATTTCATTATAGCCTTTGGTCTAATTTAGTTCAAACCAGAAAAAGCAACGACACTGAATATTAAACAGAATAAATTAGCTTACCATCTTACTTAGGCCTATTTTCCAAGTAGAAAATTACAAATTTTGTTAAAAAAATTAACATTCTAAAACTGTACTGTATTCCTTTGGTAGCACAAAGGTTTGGTAATAAGACTTCACTTTACAATAACAGGGTTCTATTCAGCATTGTTTAGAGGCTGACCCACTGCTCCTCACTCAATAGTCAGGTTCTCTGGAAATGGGATATAATACTTGTGCATATTGTAAATACGCAAGTTATTAAGTGAAGATGATTACATAGATGTACAAATTGCTCTGAACGTACCATATGATTTTACTCAATATAATCCAATTTTTTTTTTTTTTTTTTACAAAGCATTCCTACATTTTTAGGAGCAATATTCAACACTAATTCATTTCTGGCTAAAATTATTTTTTGAAATAAATTGCATTATATTTCAGTATGGTACTATGCTGTTTCCAAGTTGAATCAAGTGTGAAAGGGCTCCCACAATAACAGTGCAAAAACTGCCACAGTGCAGTATCACAAAGACTAGTTTAATTTTTACATCTGCATTTAGTCAATAAATATTAGCTGGGCAGCAAGCAAGCAGTTGGCATGCTTCAGACTGTGGTTCAACTTCAGTCACCGTCACTGATTGCCCTGGAGAACGCATATGTGTAAATGTCAGCTAAATACAGGAATAGCTTAACAGAAGTCTAAACTGAACATTTTGCTCTCAGTAACATACAGGCAAACAATACTAATTTAACAAGTCATTTTCAAGTAACTAAAATGAAGATCACATTAACCCTCACCAAGAAAAATAAATACATTAAAAGCCTTGTTTGAAATACTTGTGCAATTAGAGTCATAATCATACAGCACAGAGATGGACTCTTCTGTCCAACTAATCCACGCTTAAACTAAACTTGCTCCACTTGCCTGCATTTGGGCCGTAACCCTCCAAACCTTCCCTATTCATGTACTCATTTAAATGTCTTTTAAATGTTGTAACTGTACCTGTATCCACCACTTCCTCCGGCAGTTCATTCCACACATGAACGACTAAGTAAAAAAAAAAGTTACCCCCCTCATGTCCTTTTAAAAACATTCTCATCTTAAAAATGTGCCCCCTGGTTCGAATTCCCCCATCTAGGAAAAAGGCCCTTGCTATTCACTGTATCTATGCCCCTCATGATTTTATAAATCTTTATGAAGGTCACTCCTCAATCTCTTAAACTCCAGTGGGGGGGAAAAAAAAATCCCAGCCTCAAACCCTCCATTTCCACCAACATCCTGCAAACCTTTTCTGGACCCTCTCCAATTTAATAACATTGTTCGTGTGGCAGGGCGACCAGAAGTGGAGACAGCACTCCAGAAGAGGCCTCAGTAATGTCCTCTACAACCTCCACATGACATTAAAAAAGTTCATTGGCACTGGACTTCAGATATATTTGGCTTGATGCACTGGAATACATAGAATATTGATACAAATTGAGAGAAGACAAACCAACCTCAGTTATTGTAAGTTATTTAATAGATGAATGCACATTGGTTATAACCATTCTCTCTCAACAACTTTTCCATCTGTCTTGCCAACTTTACAGCACTAGTTTATTCATTTACACACACTGCATTTAAGAGTGTTTTCTAACATATCAAATTAATTCAAAGTCACGTATCTTTAGGTGCAAGTAAGTTCAATGACTCAGTTCTGAAGTAAGGAAAACTTCACAGGCTCTTACTAACTCAGTAATTAGTGATGTATGCTTCGGTTTTGTGACTGAACAGAAGACCTTGTGTTGTACTTAAAGAATCAACATTATCCAAAACCCAACATTTAAAAAATAATCAAATGCTAGAACCCCATCTTAATAATCAATAACACCTTAATCAGAAGCCTAAAAATGTATTCCATCCCTCCTTCCATGGGTTGATACCTTCAGCAAATTTACTGATCCTCACTGCATTAAATTTCTAAAAGGAAAAACTTCAAGCACAAACTGTTTACTTTCAAGAACATTACAAACAAATCATAAACCAAGCACTCACGATTCTTAAAACCCATGAAGCACACCAGATTAATTTTTCACAGCCTGTGATCTTAGGAACTTTTGCATGGATTATAATGTATAGGCCAAGCACAAACCTTTTGATGGAAAAATCTGTCCACAGTACACCACACAACACAATAAATGAGCAAGGTTAAATGCAATTCACCGTTCAATGTAAAAATCATAACTTTTCAAAATATCTCATCAAAAACTATCCTTTATCCATTCCTTTGGTACCTGTACACCTGACTGTTCTAACACACTCCTGGCTGGCCTTCCACATTCTACATACTGCAAATTTTAGATCATCTGAAATTCTGCTGTGTCCTTAACCCACATCAAGTCCCGCCACCTGTACTCGATGACCGACAACTCCCACTAAACAAATGGCTCAATTGTAAAAACTCTCATTACGTTGAATTCCTCCCCAGATTCACCCGCTTCCCCCATCAATCTCTTCTAACTCCGCAACCATGCAAGATGTCTGCACTTTTCTAATCTTGGCCTCTTCCCCATCCCCAACTGATTTTGCTCCAGCATTGGCGGACATGTTCTACCCTCATTCCTACACTCCAGAATTCCTCTCTCCCTGTCTCACTTGGCTTTCTAAAAGAAAACGACGCTCCTTAAAATCCACCTCATTAATCAAGCTTTTGGTCATCTGCCCTAACGTCTCTGAATGTGGCGCGGTGTCAAGTTTTAATTTGTAATCCTATTAACGAAACAACTTTATTAGGGCATATTGAATGCGCTATGAAAATACAAGTTGCCGCCTTTAACTATTTCTTCTATAATTTAAGCGTCTGCAATTTCCTTGCCTTTTACTTGTAATTCCCCAAATGTAGAGCCAGAAGGCTTTTAGAAAAGTGTGGCCTAAACAGTCCCACGTTAGTTGAAGCCAACATAAACCACATTAAGGAATATCTTCAGCATCTTCCGTGACCTAGTTACTAATCCCAAAAGCGGGAAAGATCTAGACTAAGCAGTCACTGGATGAGAAGCCACTCTCGGATTCGCCAGTTTCGCGGAATTTTCCTAAGTGCGACGAAGGTAGGAGAAATCAGAGAGCCCGGCAGGTCGAAGTCGCCGCGGGCTCCCTCTCCCTATATCACTCGGGGCTGGTGGGCTGTCTGTCAGAGACAGAGGCCGAGGCCCGCGGCCTTCACGCAGAGGGCAGACCCCGCGCTCGAGTAAAGGGAGCAACAACCAAAACAATAAAAAAAAACCCGAATCCGGCCTTCCCTTGCTTAGCGTTCTCATCACACTATCTCACCTGGTGCAATCGCCGACATTTCTAACGAAGAGGGAGCTGTTGGGCGGGCGAGCGTACCGAGACATGGCGGCGGCGGCGGCACCGAAAGAGGCGAACTGCGTCGCCAGGCAGCGAGTGCGCAGGCGCGGAGCCCGGGCTCCGCCCATAGAACCCACTAGAAGCCGCATCACAAGGACACGTTGGCCAATGGCGGCGCAGCTCCCCGGCACCATCTTGGTGCAGGCGCCTGGACGGCGCGGCC